GTCCTCATCCGGAATGAATCTCAGTTGAACTGCTGCTAGAAGTCTAAAAGCTTAACCAGCTCTAGTTCCTGGTCCTCACGCCTTATATACCTTTCTGCTTTCTGCCATCACTTCCTGGGATTAAAGGCGTGTGTCACCATGCCTGGCTGTTTCCATTGTGGCTTTAAACTCACAGAGATCCAGACAGATCTCTGCCTTCGGAATGCTAGGATTAAAGGTGTGCGTGTGCCACCATTTTCTGGCTTCTATGTCTAGTAGCTGTTCTGTTCTCTGACCCTAAATAAGTTAATTAGGGTGCACAATATTTTGGGGAACACAATATCACCACACATGGGTGTTTTCTTCAGAGAACCCAGGAGAGGTTATTGGTGAAAGTGCAGCCCAGTTGTAGCAGGAGCCCTCCATGGCCTCTGCATCAGCTCCTGCCTCCAGGTTCCTGACCTGTTGGAGTTCTTGTCCCGGCTTCCTTTAATGATGAACTACAATGTGGAAGTATAAGCCAAATAAACCCTTTCCTGCCCATCTTGCTTATAGTTCACGGTGTTTCAAAACCCTAACTAAGACAGGGACTTTTAGGATGAGCTGTACAAAGGTTCTGTTTTTAAAAAGTTCCTGCCTGAGTTCCTGCCTTGGGCACAGAAACAGAGCAGCATGTGGCTATGTGGCACCCTAGCTTCAGTCACAGGCTTACAGAGTTGTGGTGGCTGGCAGGAAACCTCCCTGCCTGTTAAGACCCATGTCCTCCCACCCTCCCTGAACAGTAGTTTGCTTAACAGTTGTGTGGACCAGTATGTGGGCAGGGGTGGCAGATGTTCTATGTGCCCTGGCCTATGTGTGCACCGACTGCAGTAGCTGGCACCTAGCAGGTGCTCCTTCAACATCTGTTGAATGATGGGCAGCAGAGTCACCTAGGGGAACCTGCTCAGTCTGGGCCCACTTCAGATCCCCTGAATCGAAACCTCTGGTGACAGAGCCCAGGTGACTGTCATGTCCTCGAGAGTCTGGGAAGCACAGCTGCAGTGTCTGAATAGATCTTTCTCCTATTATCAGAAGAAGAAATGCTGATGTTTCCACTTTGAGCATTGGCGGGTAGGGACTAAAATATTCAAGTCCAATCCTGTAGGTTCCTTTTACTGGAGCCATTTCCGAGGAGCCTGGAGTGCTCTTGGCTTTGGACTGGGCTGGATATGCACCACACTAACTTGCACTGCTTTCAAGGGAGGCTAGGCCAATCAAAAGGCGGAGGAGGTAGACGTGGGGCCGCGTGAAGTCCAACTCTGGCAGTATTATTGCCCTTCTCTTGAAAGTCATAAACTAAGAAATGTGCCACCATTCTGGCTCCCTCCAGGTGGCCAGCTGCTGGGAGCTGTTGCTTATTCCTTCCTAGGAGGTTGTAGCTTGGACCTGGTACCTACCTGGGCTTGGCCTCAGCTGGACCTCTAGCTGCTGGGTCCGGAGCTGATCACCCCTTTTGCAGTGACTACTGCAGATTCAGCCTAGGACCTGGAGTGTGCTAGGCAAACGGTCCACCACTGAGCTAGAGCCCCAGCTTTAACATCTTTTAAGCTTTCATTTCCCCGGGGATATAATGGATAAATTCATTCCACTGAAGGTTGTGGGAAGGATTAGTGATGACACAGCTCAGATGCACGGGAAAGCCGGGAGGTTTGGCCTGAGACCTAGACGCTAACCGTGCATTTGGGTCAGGGACTCTGCACAGCTTCATCCAGTGGCTCTCTCCTTAGCCAGGGAGAAGACAAGCAAACAACATGAGATGTTCTGCCGCCTTGGGTTTCCTGAGGACTTTTCTTTCCTTCTCTTTTTTGAGCGGTCTCGCTACACAACCCAGGGTGACCCCAGACTTCTTCCAGAGTTCTCCTGCTTCAGCCTCCTGAGTGCCCGGGTCACAGGTGTGAATTATCACACAGAATGCTTGATGACTTTCTTTTTTTTTTTTTTTTTTGGTTTTTTCGAGACAGGGTTTCTCTGTGTAGCTTTGCGCCTTTCCTGGAACTCACTTGGTAGCCCAGGCTGGCCTCGAACTCACAGAGATCCGCCTGGCTCTGCCTCCCGAGTGCTGGGATTAAAGGCGTGCGCCACCACCGCCCGGCAACTTGATGACTTTCTTAAGGAAGAACTCCACACCCCTGCAAGGAGGCAAGAGGGTCATGGGGCCGAGACTGTGAGTTGCCTCTGAGGAAAGAACTCCTGAAAAGCAAGCTAAGCTTCTCAGGTGAAGGCTCACCCTAAATGTCTTGGCAGCCACAACCTAATCAGAGGATGCATAGATCAGTGATAAAGTCTTTAAGGCTGGGCAAATGGTAGTATTTCTAACAACAACGCCAGAGTTTTAAAAGCAAACAAAGCCTCTGGACGAATTCGTCTCTAGCAAGGCACTGAACAGTGCGGTCAATCTGCATGGCCATGGCCGGAGACGGCTGGCTGGGGAGGGGATCCAATGTATTCCTTGGGCTCTAAAAGGCACAACACCAAAGGGTCAGGCTGAATGGGGACAGTTCGGGGAAACCATTTCGTAGGACTCCTACTTGGTCCAGCAGCAGCAGCAGCAGCCCTAGGAGCACTCAGGTCGTTGGTGATAATGAAGATGATAATGATGGTGGTGGGCACTTCCTGTCTGCTGGACCAGGGCCACGCAATTTATTTTACCCACATCGTTTCACTTGACCCTTCCAAGGGCCTATGTGGAATAGCACCATTGCTGTCCCAATTTTGGAGACGAGGCAGCTGAGGCTCAGAGAGGTCAAGCCCGTGACTCTTTTGTTTTTGTTGTTGTTTTGATTTTGTAAGACAGGGTTTCATGTAGCCCAGGCTGGCCTCAAACTTGCTATGCAGTCAAAGATGACATGAATATCTGATCCTTCTGTTATCTATCTCCCCAGTGCTGGGATTATAATATATTCCACAATACCCATTTTTATCTGGTTCTATGGGACCCGGAACTTCATGCATGATAGGCAAAACGTTCTATCAAGTGAATTATGTTCTCAGCCCTTGTTTTATTTTTTCTGAGGCTGCACCTCATGTAGTCCAGGCTGGCCTTATATAGCCAAGGATGACATTGAACTCCTGAACACCCCACCCCCACCCCCGCCTCCACTTCCCACGAGTTAGGATTATAGGCATGCATCACCAGACCTGACTCTCCTTTTACTTTTAGGTAACAGTAGCACAGAGTTAGTTAGTTGACACCAGCATTCAGACCTGAATGGAGTACGGAGTCTGTTTAAGCGTTGGAGGGAAGGTAAGCCATAACGGCCAGTGCCTGTAAGGGTAGTTTCTCCCAGCCAGCTTAGCACTCACCCTGAGGTCAGGCCCTGTGCCAAGCATTTTACCTATTTTATCTCTTTATCTTCATAACATCACTATGAGTAAGTGATTTTACTATATCCCCATCTGTATAGACGAGAGACCAAGGCCTGAGATCAGATGACTTTGCTGGGGTTCAAAACCAGGCAGCGACACTGACTTGAGTTGCCCAGTACTGGAACAAGAGACGGTAGGGGCTGAACCAGAACCCAGGACTCCTGGGAGGCGAGCTGTACATTCTCCTCTGGCAGCAATCGTTCCTTAAAAGCGTGCTGGCCTTAAGCCCAAAGAGTGAAATCACACCCTGCGGTTCTGGGAACCTCAGCCTGGAGAAGGAGGAAGCTGTTGCTGTGTGCCTCAAGTCTGAGCAGGTGTGCGGGCTCCTTCCTTCTCCTGCTGGAAGGAGCCTGCTGGCCCTGCAGGGTGGGGCAGCCCTCGTCAGCACCCCGTGGAAGCAGGGCGGGAGGCAGGTGTGCCCAAGAAACAGCTCTGCGTCTTCCTGCCTTCCAGCCTTTATTCAGTCCCAGCACACACACACCCACACACACACACACCCACACACACCCACACCCCTCCCTCGCGCACACACCTAGATGCCTGCTTGCCAAGCAGAGAAGCAATGAGAGTTCAAGGTTGAAGTCAGAAGGTTTGCTTCCTGGCTCTGCTTCAGAACTCTCCTGGTGTGCAGTCCTGACCTACAGTTCTCTCGTCTATGTGGAGTGTGTGGTGATGGCGGTGGTGTGGGGGAGGCAAAGCCCTCCAGCCTTTTCTTTCTTTCTTTCCCTTTTTTTTTTTTTTTTTTTTTTTTTTAGGTTTCTCCAGACAGGGTTTCTCTGTGTAAACACTGTGGCTGTCCTGGAACTCACGGAGATCCACCTGCCTCTGCTGCTCAAGAGCTGGGATTAAAGGAGGGCGCCACCACCGCCCGATAAGCCTTTTCAATTATCACTTTATTTATTAAATACCTTGGTTACCCAGAGTAATAACCAAAGCAAGATTTAAGCCTGGTTTCATGTGTCTTAGACTCGAGCAAGGACTGATTGACTCAGATCAATTCTTCACCGAAGCCAAGGTACAAAGGCCGCTGAGATACCTTCAAGGGAAGGGGTCACATACTTAAGGGTGAGGGATAAGGATGCCCTAAAGATGCCGTTATTCGGTGAATGGCTGATCGGCATAGAGGCTCCTTTCCAGAAGGTTCATACTAAGAAGGGAGCAGGCCAATGGGCCTGGGAGGCTGGCAGAAGCCTAGTCAATTCAAGACACTGTGGGCTATGGTAAAAGACATGACTGAAAATTTTTTTCAAGGGAGGTTATTGGGTGGCGCTGGGGGAGAGAGATGATTAGGCTTAACAGGAAATGGGTAAAAAAAGAAAAATTCCTCAAAGAAAACATACGAATGCCACCCTCTCCGAGAAGCCTTCTCTGATTTCTCCGCCTTTGACCTGAGCCTGCCTCCCTCCCTCTCCGGCCTTGCACTCTGGAGAGAGAACTTAGGCCTCCGAAGCTTTCTCTTTTGCTGTCGAAGCACACTGCGGCTTCAAACGCGGTTCTGAACCTCGCGGAGCCTCAGTTTCCCCAGCTGTGCAGAAGCAGGTTGTCAGGCAAGGGCCCGCCCAGCGCTAACGCAACGTGATTCGCTCTAGCAGCAAGGAGGGGGTGCCCGCATTGCTGCGCAGGCACCGGGCGGCTGGCCCGGGCACCGCCACCTGGCTGCCGGCGCGTTTTTCCCCCGCGGGGGGCTGCGAGACCTGGTCGCCGCGACAGACTCCGAGCAGGGAAAGTGGGGGTGCGACCCCAGGCTCACGCGGCCCCGCCCCCGCAGCCAGCCGGCCTGCCGCAGCCGGGGGCCCGAGCTCCGCCCTCCACCCGCCCGCCGGGCTGCCTCCTCCCTCCTCCTCCTCCTCCTCGCTCGCTCCCTCCCCCGGGCGGGCTCGGCGCTGACTCCGCCGCACGCTGCAGCCGCGGCTGGAAGATGGCGGGGAACGACTGCAGCGCGCTGCTGGATGAAGAGCTCTCGTCCTTCTTCCTCAACTATCTCTCTGACACGCAGGTACGGCCAGCTGGGAGCGCAGGCCAGGGACCCGGGTGCAGAGCCGCGGGGCTGCAGCCGCAGCTGCGGAGGCAGGAGCGCAGCGGTGGGCGCACCGGGGCGATCGGGGGGTTCAGGCTGCAGAGCCCCCCTTCCACGTGCCTTGCGCTGCGCTCCGTTACAGGCGTAGCGAGCTGCAGGTCGCCGGCGCGTGCTGTAGCATTGGGGGGGGACACAGCCATCCCGGAGGGTCTGGCCAGGGCTACCTGGAGTCTACGGTTCCCCCACCGGCAAAGTTGAGGGGTACGGCGATTCCTTGGGCAGGTAGAATCTGGCCAGGGTCGGAGGGACCCCTAAGACTGGCTCTGGGTGCTGTAGGCGCGTCCTCGGCGCCCAGCACTTGCTGCCGTACTTTCACGTGCACTTGTGGCGGGGGTAAGGGAGGCGGCCCGCAGCCTGGAGTCGCCTCGTTCTCCAGCATCGGGTACCCCAAGTGCTGCCGCTGGTTTTCCCGCAGCCCCCCACCTGCTCCCGCAGCGCAGAGTTTCCTGTCACTTGCCGGCTAGGGGAACTAGGGGTCTGCGGGGCACGTGGACATACGGGCGGAGATAGTGTCTGTCAGCTTTCGTTATCCCGAGGAGACCCTCTAGGGCCGAGGAAGGCTGGATCGGGGCGGAAGGACTATCTCGGGGGTGCCTGGGTCCCCCTGCGGCGCGCGGCCCCGGCGCGCGCTCCACGATGCAGGGGGAAGGGAAGGTGAGGCGGCGTCCCGGGCTCTGGCTGAGCCTGGGAGCCTCGCCGGCTACACGCGCGTGACAGGAGTGTGTTTTGGTGTTCAGGAGGGAGGACGAGAGATCTGCTGGCTTGGAGACCAAGATGGGGTTTGCTGCTGGGACAAACAGTTGCGGGAAAATGTGTGCACGCGGCGTGCGCGCCCCCACCTCCTTCGTTTCCCCCCGGCCCATGCCTGTTGCAAACCTAAAGTTTGGTTCCCGAGTTCGAGCTTTTGCTCCCGGCTTCTCGCTGCATGTCCCCGAGAGGTTGGGGATGCGGCGGAGCCTGGGAGGAGACCCCGGATGCGGGGACACGCCTGGGTACGGAACAGGGCTGTCGTACGGAAACCCGCGGGACTCGCGGGGACAGACTGAGTACCTAGAGTGGAAGCGTTTGTGCCGGCCGGTTTTGCATAACACTGGGAGGGAGGGGGAAGGCGGAGGGGGGGGCCCGGGAGGTGGGAGGAGAGAGGGAAACTTTGCTTCTGGTTAGAATCTACCAGTCTTTGGGCGGTAGCAGCTGTCATGGGACCGGGTGGGCGGGGAGAGGCTTGCAAGCTGACTCCTTGCGGTGAGACGCGACTCGGAGGGGACGCGGCGGCCGAGACGTTCTGCTCCGGGAAGACTCCCGGTGGCGACTTCAGGCTGGCGACTAGGACGGGCGGCGAGGCAAGGTGTCGCCTAGAGGAAGCCCGCCCGCCACGCGCGGGAGACGGCGGCCCGTAGCCCCCTGCAAAAGCCGCGGCGTCCCGGAGCTGCGGGGCCGCGTGGTGTGTGGCTGGCGCGCTCGGGTGGGTTCGCAGCAGAGGCCCAAGGGGACGGTGGTGAGGGATGGCTCTTGCTCAGGTCGGGAGGGGGTGTTAATGAGCGGGCTGTGCGCGGGTGTGTGTGTGTGTGTGTATGTGTGTATGTGTGTCTGTGTCCCCTGCGCGTGTGCACACGCCGCGCGCGCCGGGCGCGTACCTTTACCTCTGACGAAACTGCGGTGGAGCTCCCGGCAGCGTCGCCGGGCTCGGTCACACGCCCCGTGTTTGTGTCTGCCCAAGTCGGGCCCTAGTCTCAGCACCCTAGGAGTGGATAGCCTGGGACCAGGACTGGCGGTGGTGGGGGGGTTTGGTGGCCCCCGAAAAGACCTGCACCCCAGATCCCTATTGCTTGGAGTCGTCTCCTTATCTCTACACTTAAGAACCTAGTAGAAGAGACCAGAAATAGCCAGTGAGACTCCTTCACCCATACCAAGGTTGTCCACTCTGGACATGACCCTAGCCTTTAACTCTAGCTTTGGTGTTTGGCTCACCAATAATTAATTGTTTGCCCTTTTAGCCGCCAGCCTAGCTTATTTAGTAGGGCTGCTTCACCAAGGAAACTAGGGAAAAAAAAAATGAGTAATCAGGTGTCAGCAGAAGCAGTGCAGTGAAAGTTAATTTGGGACGTTTGCCCCCCCCCTCACCCGATTTAACTTAACTAACCACGTGACAGGCCGAAGATCTCCCGGTGATCTTTGCCGGGCCAACTTGGGAAATGTAATTGATACCAGGAGCTTTGCAGCCGCCCCTAGAAGGCTCAGAGCTGAGCGGGAATGGGCGGGGCAGCCCGCCGCCTCATTTTACAGTTGGGGAAGAGGCTGTGAGGGGGTGAGCTGCTTGTCCACGACCACTCAGCCAGGGGGTGACAGAGCCACCCAGGGCTCCTGACTCCAGGTCCTGTGTGTTACCTCGAAATAGCACTGGACTTGGAGTCAGAAGGCCTGAGTGGAGTCGCCTTCCCCGCTCTCTGGCTGGGTGATCCTGGAGCAAGCCATTTTAACTCTCCAGCCGGGTTCCTCCATCTGTCCAATGGGGCCGGTGGTGCTGCCGCCGGAGAAACCAGAGGCCTGCTGGTGGGGTGAGCCTTGTTTGCATGTGAGATGTCTGGCTGTCCCTGCTGCTGCTTCCCCACGGCCCTTTCCGGACCCTCCCCTCCCCTCAGCTCTCCCCTTGGGAGGGCTGGGGAAAGTGGATCGTCTTTGTCCCCAAAAGATTTCTTCTTGTCTTTGGTGGCTAACCTAGGCTTAGATTAAAGAGAACTTGTGCTCCAGAGACTTAACTTTTATCCGTTTGTTGCCAAAGTAGATGTTTATCAGAACCAGGATTGTGGGAGCTTCTTGGAAATGTTTGAAGAATGGGTCCCAAAGAACTCTGTGCTGGTTTTAACTTTGCTTAGCCTGTACCCATTGCCTGGTGTGCCCTTGCCCACCACCCCGCATGGCTTTCTCCCTTAGTAGGCCTTCCTGCCAGCTTGCCCCGCTCTCTCTCTCCTGTCTTCCATCGTCAGTTATAAAACCAAGCACTATGTGTTTGGGCCTATCCAGTAGGCTCTAAGTTGTGCCTTTTATCTCTTTGTGCCCACATGGCACCTGCCAGCATGCTGAGCAATGTTCCTTTGCCCAGTGCTTGATGAGGTTCATGGATTACAAATAGGGGTACAGTTGAGCCTTGCCAAACAGAAGCTCCTGAGCTGACAGGGGGAGACAGCTGGGCAGTGAATATGGGAGAGAGGAATGTCCAGGGTCACAGCTGCTAAGCAAAAGCCTTGACTCCAAAGGCCACGCGGAAAGCTCAGTCAATAAAGGGGTTGTGTGAAATCACTTGAGTGCTTGGAGTAACAGTCATAGTGTCAGAGATGAAAGGACATTATAAACCATCTAGTCCAATCCTTATTTAAAAATTATAAAATTTTAACGCTGTTGGAAAACATCGTCAAGCATCATGAAAAAAAGGAGACAGATGTAATATTTCCAAAGTGTTTAATTTTATGTGTGTGTGTTTGCATGTGTGTGCTATGGCATGCGTGTGGAGGTCAGAGGACAACTTGCAGAAGTTCTCTGCCACCCAGTGGGACATGGAGATTGAACCCAGGTCATCAGCCTTTACCTGTTGAGCCATCTCACCGGTCCAGAAACATGTAGTATTATCCAAAGGTAGCTACTCTAAAGTCATATGTATCTCAAGATGTTTTTCTTTCCTATCCATATAGATCACTGATTTGGAAAAAAAAAAACCTAAGAAAACAACAAATGGAGTTATTCTGTTACACTGATTTGTAAATTGGAAGAGCGCTGTTTTGTAACTTGCTTTTTTCTCCTCCTCACAATATGCTGTGAACATCTTTCCCCATCAATAAATATTGTGCTTAATATCTTGATGGTTGTATAGTATTTCATGGAGGGTTGAGCCAGCATGCATCAATCAGTCCTTTGTGATGTCTCAGCTGTTTGCATTTATCCTGTTGGAAGCAGTGCTGAAACGAATATCTTTGTGTGCGTGTGTTCTTTCCTAAATTTAAGTTCCTAGAAGTAAAATTACTCCATCAAAGGAACCATGCAGGCATTTGGTCAACACATATCTAAATTATCTTCTAGAGAGATTGTATTCATTTACACACTCATCGGCATCGTGTGGGAATGCCTGATTGGCCACACCCGTTTTTGGTGTGGCCACACACATTCATACTATTTTCATTTTTACCCGTTCGGTCAATAATGCACGGTTCCTCTTGCTGTTTACTGTGCATTTCTTTGGTAACTTGTGATGTTCAACTGCTCCCCCCTTGCATGGCTCCAGGGACTCAACCTGACAAGGGCAGTGAGGGAGTAAAGAAAAGACAGACACATGGAAACACAGAAATCACCGGGCTCTCTGATGCAGAAACCCTCAGATGCTCAGAATGTTTATTGTACACAGTTGAACGGGGAGGTGGGGTTGTTGCCTACAGCTGAATCAAGGAGGCAGGGTTAGTGCGTACAGATAAAGGATTTAGGTACTGCTGGACAAGGAGCTAAGTTTAGCTAACTTAGGTAGGAGCCGTCTCTGTAGGGGAATAGTCTTCAGACTGTAATCATCCAGGGGAAGAAAACTATGGTGGACATTTTTTGCACTCATTGTTAACCTTCACACTTGGACGCCCGGAAGGCTTTGCTATCCCTCTGAGCCTCACTTTGGTGGTGGGGGTGGGGTAGGACTCTTTGGCATGTTCCTATGGGTCTGAAGCCATGCCCATGCCAACAATGCCCACTCACTCCGGACTTCATTCACTCAGGGCTTTCTCTGCTCCCCATGCTCAGCTACTCAACCACTTCCCGCAGAGAATCACTTGCAGCTGGTTCCATATGGCACCATGGTTGTGAACCTGTCCCATTTGACAGTTGGACCTTTGTCTCCTCATCGCCATTAAGCTGGAACTGAGCACACAGCCGCCCCCCCCCCCCCC